ACCCAAACAAGCATATGTTTAAGGTAGGTGAGCGGGGAAGGCAGGAAGGTGCCCACAATTCCTACGTCCGAAGGAGGCCCAGAACTGGGGTCTTGGGGAGACAGGACCTCTCGCTTTCCTGATGGAATCTGGTTGAGCAGGTTCCAGTGAATCCTTTTGTGCACAAAGGAAGGAGGATCCTATCCGGCAATTGCTGCCCAGCGGGTGGAGAAAGAGAGAAGAGAAAAAACGGAAGGTGAGTTGATGAAGAAGGAACCGCACTGCAAACCCTTGTGAAGAATCATATAAACGGAGCCCCTCGAAATGGAGCTGGAGCTGCCACCCTGAGGACCTGCCTGCGTGCAGTGTGCCTCCGCTCTTTCGAAAGTTCAAGTGGCCTCGGCACTGGGCCTAAGCAATCTTGTACCGAAAACACTGCTTACAGCGATGACCAGACAGCAGTTACTGTGACTGCTGCACGGACGACCACTGGACTGACAATTAAATAACATTATTTAGAATTCGCTTCCCTATGTGATGTCATCTGCACCAATAGAAATGCCTTTGAAACTTAGGGTTCGGGGTACAGACTTCTTCTAGGGGGTCCCTGTCCGACAAAGTTTGAAGAATAAACTCCTGGACAAAAAGGCTTCTTTAATAAAAAATAAAAAAAGGCTGAAACCGGTTTGGCTCAGTGGATAGAGCACGCACTGCAAACCCTTGTGAAGAATCATATAAACGGAGCCCCTCGAAATGGAGCTGGAGCTGCCACCCTGAGGACCTGCCTGCGTGCAGTGTGCCTCCGCTCTTTCGAAAGTTCAAGTGGCCTCGGCACTGGGCCTAAGCAATCTTGTACCGAAAACACTGCTTACAGCGATGACCAGACAGCAGTTACTGTGACTGCTGCACGGACGACCACTGGACTGACAATTAAATAACATTATTTAGAATTCGCTTCCCTACGAATTCCAGGGAATAATGGTGATGATGTCATCTGCACCGATAGAAATGCCTTTGAAACATGGGGTTCGGGGTACAGACTTCTTCTCGTGGGTCCTTGTCCGACAAAGTTTGAAGAATAAACTCGTGGACAAAAAGCCTTCTTTAATAAAAATTTAAAAATGTGGATGTTTATTGGAAGCATATACAAACTCCATCTGGGCAGCGGGGTCCCCAGAGGGGTCCCCCTAGGAATGGGCCATCAAATGGGAAAAACCTGCTCTCTCTCTCTCTAATGGGAAAATATTCTACATCCAAAAATCTAAAATCTGTAATCTGTCTTGTGTCCCTTGGTCTCCAGTTTATTAGTATAGTAGAGGCCTGGTGCACAAAAATTTGTGCACTCGGGGGGTCCTTCAGTCTGGCCTGTGCCCTCTTGCTGTCTGGGACCCCTCGGAGGATGTCCACCTGCTGGCTTAGGCCTGCTCCCTGGGGGATCGGGGCCAAGCTGGCAGTCAAACATCCCTCTGGTAGTCCAGCAGCCCTCGGGGGATGTCCACTTGCCAGCGGGGAGCAGGCCTAAGCTGCAGTCGGACATCCTTAGCGCTGCTGAGGAGGCAGGAGAGGCTCCCACCACCACCGCTGTACTGGCAGCTGGCAGCCTGGCTTGTGGCTGAGCAGAGCTCCCCCTGTGTGAGCGCACTGACCACCAGGGGGTAGCTCCTGCATTGAGCGTCTGACCCCTGGTGGTCAGTGTGTGTCATAATGACCAGTCACTCCCAGTCATTCTGCTGTTAGGGTCAGTTTGCATATTACCCTTTTATTATATAGGATAGAGGCCTGGTGCACAGGTGGGGGCCGGCCGGTTTGCCCTGAAGGGTGTCTTGGATCAGGGTGTGGGTCCCGCTGGGGTGCCTGGCCAGCCTGGATGAGGGGATGATGGCTTTTTGCAGCTGGTCACCCCCCCTTCGGGTTGGGGGGTCCCCACTGGGGTGCCTGGACAGTCTGGGTGAGGGGCTGAGGGCCGTTTTCAGGCTGGCAAAAAAGGCTGAAACCGGTTTGGCTCAGTGGATAGAGCATCGGCCTGCGGACTGAAAGGTCCCAGCTTCGATTCCGGTCAAGGGCATGTACCTTGGTTGTGGGTATATCCCCAGTAGGAGATGTGCAGGAGGCAGCTGATCAATGTTTCTCTCTCATCGATGTTTCTGGCTCTCTATCTCTCTTCCTTCCTCTCTGTAAAAAATCAATAAAAAAAATATATTAAAAAAATATGGACGTTTATTGGAAGCTTATACAAACTCCATCTGGGCAGGGGGGTCCCAGAGGGGTCCCTCTGGGAATGGGCCACCAAATGGGAAAAACCTGCTCACTCTCTCTCTCTAATGGGAAAAAATTCTACACCCAAAAATCTAAAATCTGTAATCTGTCTTGTGTCCCTTGGTCTCCAGTCTATTAGTATATATGCTGTAGTTCTTTGTTTGACCCTGACCCTTTCTAATTGGCCCCTTCCCCATGTTCTGACCCTGTGCTCTCCTAATTGGTCACTCTTTTGTTTCAAAGGCCAAAATGCACATGGTGCCCCGGTCCTTCTCTCCCCCTTATCTTGCAACATTCCTCTATCTCCTGTGGAGGTATGGTTCCCTCTTTCCGCATCTGTCGACATTTCTCTGTTCTCTGTGAAAGTAGGTTTCCTTCTTCCCGGTCCTTGTGACTTTCCTTTATCCTCTGTGAATGTATGCCTTCCTCTCCCCTTATCGTTGGCATTTCCCTGTCCTTCACATCCCCATCTTATCTGTTCTGGTTGGAGTTGCTTTGGATCTTCTTTATGGCTCTCTCTCTGGCCAAGGGAGGGGTTATTACCCCGTATGGCTATCCCAGCTGCTCAGGGCAGGGCTGCGTTTGATCCACCTTATAATTGCCTTCATTGCTCAGGCCAGAGACACCGCTGTCTTTACATATGCATCCTCCCCCATGGACCCTCTTTATTCCCTAAGCCTGCCTGTTTGGTCCCTAGAATTCCTTTCGCCTTCCTCCGATTGATGTCATTGTCCCCCTTCCCTGTCTCATCGATACCCCTGGCCTTTGTCTCCTAATCAGAATATTATTTGGGCTTCTGCCTGGATTCCTGATTCCTGAAGAGCTATCCTTACTGGTCGCAAATAAATAATAGTTTCCCTCTCCCTTTGAAAGGCCTTATTTTCCGGTGACACCTTCCCTACCGGGGACCCTACTGTCTTACCATCAGCGCTTCACAGAGAGCCCAGCGGGAAGCAGGAATGCAGACGACTGGGAGAGAGTGAGTGGGGACCGAGGGAGCCACTGAGTTAGCACCCCTCCCCACCCCCCTCTCTGAAGGAACGGGGACAGTGAAGACACGGGGTGGCAATGGAGGAGAGAGGACAGCTCCACCTTCACAGCACTCGCCAGCTGACAGTGCCCGGGACCCACGGAGCACAGGGAGGAATTCCACCAGCAAGTCCCAGGCATTGTCTCTGCCACCCCAGCCCGCCCCACCCTGCCTCAGAGCCGCTGTTAGCCTGCCTCCGCCTCACCTGCGGCCCGGGGTCCTGCTTCCCCTTGCTGGGCTGGGGGCTGAGTTAGAGTCGCCTTGGCTTCCTTGGAAGATGAGCTCCTAAGGCTTTTTTCCTGCAAGAGTTTCTGTAAAGAAACAAAACCACCCATCTCAGGAGCGCTCTGGGGCAGAGGCGGGCAGAGCCGGGCCAGCTCTGAAGTCCGCTCCCAGCTTCATCCTGACCCGCTCCACCGGGGAGAGATGGGCAGTTACCGAAGCTCCCTGTCCCAGCCAGCCAGGGCCACCGTGACAGAAAACCACACGTCATTTCTCATAGTTCCGGAGGCTGCGAGGCCCAGATCAAGGTGCCGGCCCCACGCCAGGACCTCATTCAACCCCAACCCCTCCCCAAAGCGGCGTCTCCAAATAGTCTCACTGGAGCTTCCGCATGTGGGTACTAGGGGGGCACATTTCCATCCCCAACACCCCCTGTGGCTCAGTGTCCTCTTCTGTACAACTGGGAAGCCCCTCTTCCCAGGCCAGGGACCTGGAGGGACATCAAGGGAGAAACAGAGGCACGGCCAGGCCTGTGCAGCTGGGCACCATCATCTCCGGAGCCCTCGTCCGCAGGGGCAGCCATGCGAACTGCACACACACTGGCTTCCTTCCACCCTCCCCTAACTCTGGGTGCCCATGAACCCCAGTCCCTCTCCCCTCCCTCCAGCCTCACCTGCAGCTCCTCATAGAGCTGGGTGAGTGCTGCCAGCTCTCTCTCCTGCTCCTCAGCCTTGGCCCTCAGCAAGTCCGCCAACTCGGTCCTGGCTTCCTGCTTCAGCTCCTGCCAGTCCTTCAGGAGGCTGTCCAAATCCATGCCCAGGAAGAGGCCATTCAATACGGTGTTCCGCAAGAAAGCGCTGCTCCCCATCGCTAGCGGGGTGCCTCTAAAGGCCCTCTGCACCCTCCTGGTCGTCCGGGCTGAGGCTTCGCCAGTGACCAGGAGACGCTTGGCGGCAG